TCCATGTCTGCTCTCCACAAATATAACGTAAACAAACTTCACTTTTCCTAATATTACTTTATAATACCTGAGAAAAAGTTAAAACTGTGAAATTTCAATTTGTTATATCTCCTAAACTAATGCCGTCCCCCACTTATTTCTTGTGGGGAATTACTCAGAAAAACCTCCCCTACAACATATTTAAGCGATTAAATCGGAGGTGTGTTACTTTTTACGCAGTTTTATTCTAATTTTCTCAAAAAAAGCGTATACAAACTCTTTAGAGATGTCAGATGCTAACAAAAAATACCTCCTCTTTTAATTTAAATTAAAATAAAATAACAATCATAAGAAAGCAGTCGTACAAAGAGAAAGTAATTTTAAAGGAAGAAAATTAAGAATTTTTCCGAGCTCCATCATTCATAATGATAAACGACATTAAAAATATCGTAAAGTGTATCCAAGTATCCCTCGCTATTAATAATCGCGTTAAATAAATGGAATTAATATCTCCGTCTAAGTGGCCGAACGTGGAACAAGACTCTCGTATTCAAGAATTCATGGCGTGCTGAACGCGCGATCTTCGGCCGAGAGAGGATTTCGCTCAGCCGATGGGGAACCGACGGTGAGAAATAATAGAGGGTCAGCTGTGCGCAGCGGGGATGTCATCAGCAGTCGCGGCATAAAAAGCTGCCTCCCTCGTACAACATCGTCGTGCAATTAACACGGCGTCATACAATACAATTCCGGCGTCAGCGCGCAATGGAACAAGCTCCAATATTTCTCGTTTGTTATTGTTTGTAAATTATATGTCAAAATTTTTATCCATTTAATATGACGCATAACGTACAACAAATACGACACCTTAGATGCGCGATTGATTTTATAACGAAAAGCCGTACAAATGCAGAAATAATCACTCACAGATAATCTAATTTTCACAACGACTCTTGCTAAAAAATCAGCGAACTTGTATGTTATTTCGATTATCTTATGGGCCTCGACTATTATTTTAATTATCACAATTTATTCATATATTTTAGCAAAAATATCGTTACAGAAAAGATAAAAGAACGAATCTAAAAGAAACTAAGAAGAAAAAATTTTATGAATATATATGCGTTCGTTAAAAATTCGATTTCCATCATAAAAAGTTCAACGTGATTCATAGTTGTTAACTATACTTGATGTGAAGAGAAAAGTTGATGCAGAAATTTAAAACTTTTAACAAGCAGATTCGTTAACAAAAATTACGAACATAAATGTGTCTTTAATTTATAAACGACCATTGCCGAGTATTTTGTTTAAAGCGGCTTTCTCGGAGTCGGTGTAATTCTCACAGTTGTCATCACAGTTCACAACGGATTCGGCTAATCAGCATGAATACTCGGCATCAGCATGAATGCGACTAATCCGCTTTCAAAACAACAAAATATCGCGTCCGATCCCACGAAAGCTATGGACTCAGGGACGCTAATCCGCTTTACTTAGCCGCAGATATGATCTGTGCGCGAACGAAATAATCGCGCATTCCGTATCGCTTTGTGCTTTGCGATCGCGCCAATAAACTATGATAATAACTGTCCGCGCTAATGTTATCGTCGATTATATATAGAAGAAACGCGCGTACATCCGTAAATTTAATTTTCAACGAAAATCATAATGGCCATAAGATCGAAAAAGCAAAAAAAAGACCAGTTAAATAATATTCATTATTTTTAACACGTAATTTTCCACTCGGAATGATATAAATAACAAGGATAGAACGTTCTATGAACATTTTAGAAGGAGAAATAGTTTTGTTATAAAAATAATATTTAAATTACGATTAAACTTCTCTCCAACAAAATGAAACATAATATTTTAATTATTCTCAATAAATTATGTCAAAAATAATAAATAATTTTTGGTCAATATAATATCATGAGAATACTTTATTTCTATAAATATTCAGTTGGATAAGTTGTGTAAAATAGCTATCAAGATATCTTTTTATGAGTGAAACGAGCCAATTCTATTACTCTCGAGCAGTTCGGGGCATCAGGTAAAATGCGCGGATTCAGTTGGCGGACGTTATGCGTTTGCGGACGAAGAATGAATCTGTAAGGATAGTTCCGGAAAGATATGAGAAGGGTAGCGCAAACTGACGGTCCATCCACTCCGTGAATTCCTCGGGGAGCCATAAAAAAAGCCACCCATCTAGATTTTCTTACTGATCGATTATTTGCAAAAGGGGCCGTCACACGGTTCGATAAACTTCAGTTTCCGGGGTTTTACATCCGCGAATTTCTCTCATGCGTGTTTATAACGACAAAAACGTGAGCTCAAAATATTTATTAATAATGTAATCGGGATATATATGTGATTTTCACACTTTAACGAGTCAGAGATAATTTTCGATAAAGCTTCTCTGTATAATCATTTCAGTATTATACACAATTTATCTCAATGTTTGCGTTTTTATTAAATGGAAATCGATCAGAGTGATAAATTGTTTTAAGTTAAATGCGCGATGGAGGAAAAATAATTTTGACCGCCATATTAAAATAATATGTCCAAGAAACTGCTATAACTTAATTTGTTATATATTAAATATCGCAATCCTCTCGTATATTTTCTCGTGAATAATTAGAAATTTAATTTTTTATGAAATTCTAAACTGTGCAACCTCTTTCTTTCTCTCTAATTCAAACACAATTTTATAAGATATAAAGATGAACAATATATGTGTATATAATATTTTTACTATAATTTTGTAACTGTATTAGATTTTGTAGTATATTCTGCCAACAAACTGATCAAATTATAAGTATCTCTATAGTTTATAATATATAAATTAATATTACTCAATTTTCCATAATAATTAATAATTTACAGAGAGAAACATTAATATATTATATTTGATTATATACAATTTATAATATAGCAACATGTGCCAATTATCCGAATATCGATTACACAAACATTAATTCCCGTTAGCACATATAATTGACCTCCGCGAATATATAAATAAAAAAAATCTTAATTTACATTAAAATTTATTATTTAAAAAAAAATAGTTGACCTATGATATATCTATAATAGATTTGTTAATTAAATAATTTTCTTTAAATTTTGCAAAATATAAACGGTTCTGTAGACAAATATTATTTTACAAATATTATTTTTACTTTGTCTACCACGAAAAATCTGCAGCACTTATTTATCAGATCCATCCTGTTTGCTGCTAAGCAATTACCAGCAAATTTCCCTGTTAATTATCTCATGATTGAAAGCAGTCCTATTTACCTAAGGTACGAATAAGCAAATGCCAAAATTCACGGTAATTAACTATTAATTATGCGTAATGTTCTTCAGATTGCAGTTCTGTAATCGCTTTAAGTTGCAATCATCTTGCACCAAATTCTGACTCTCAAAGATATAGAAATGTGATAGTATATAAAATATTTCGCGTAATATGAACGTGTTAATAGTATATTAAGTTCATTAATATTATTATCAAGTAGAATTATTATTAAGAAAAATGAAAATAATATAAAAATAATAAAAAATAAAAATTTTCAAAAATGATATAAAATAATTCTAAAAAGAAATAGAAAAAAAATATACACATCAAGAGCGAAAGTGCTAAATAATCTGAGAATATTATACAATAAAAAACTAATTTTCTCTTTTCTTATGTATATACGCTTTGTGCTTTAATGCCCGTCCGTTCTCTCATATTTTTTTTAATATACGACACGCGAAGCGCTGCACTGATCTCCACTTACACGAGAATTTGCCCAACCTGTGTAAAATAATTTTTTACACCACGATGTGACAGCACGGAATCAGAATGAACGGATTACGCCTCGGAGTGGCCGCGTCAATTAAGGAATAATCACACGGTGTTATCCGTACGTGTTCGTGTGCACGTGTGCGACTTCGTCGGCGAAGCGGTATAAACTTGTGTCCGACAAAGTCTGATTCTATCTCGGTACGTTAACCGGTTGCCGGAGGGTGAAAGAGGACGAGAGAGACGGCACAGGAACGGGGAGGGGGAAGGGGGAGGAGGGGGATGTATG